CGAGCGGGGCGACTTGTATATCACTCCGAGATCTATATGGGAATATCATTTTCAGGTACAGGTAGCATGCCACCTCCAAGGACATAGCTTGGGAGGCTAGAGGCGGGCATACTTATGTCGTTTTATGTTTGATGTATTACATGTAAATTCAAGCCAAGGGCTTAATGTGTAAACGAGTTAGTACCCTTTTGTTGTAACCAAGTGTTAACTTGGAATGCTGTAAGTCCATAGGGCATTTGCTTTTGTTGTTAACATGTAATACTTTTTGTAATGAAACTCTGAAAAATGGAAGAATGTGGAACTTTTACATATCAATGCATATCTTTATTGATGGGTTTAATGTTGTTATTTTGAGGGCGTTACATTTATTGATCTGTGAGTAACTATCAACTATATATCCTAAATAATGTATGTGAATGTGTGTTGTCTGGGTTGACTTTATGTTTGTGTTTCTTTGATTACTGGGTCTCTTTTACACTACGCCATGGTGCCAAATTATTCAAAGAAGCTTGCATAAATATGAATTAAGAACCTAAAAATTATTTAATGAAAATACAAAAAACACTGCTTTTTTTTTCCCCCAAAAAATACACACACACAAAATTAAGAACACTGAATTTATTTATTTATTTATTTATTTTTCAAAACACACACAATGAAACTTTTTAATGAATAATAAAAAAAATACATAATAGTGTTCTCACAAAAGTAAACAAACAAACAAATCAAATTATAAAAAAGCTGAATTTATACACAAAAAGAAACAATAGCTTAAAAAGTGAAAGAGGAAAAAATCCAAAACTATTTAAGTCTCTAAAAAATTGCACATAGGTGTCAAACTGTTTAATTAAAAACCTAAAAATTAAGAACCTATAAATTAATTTAATGAAAATACAGAAAATACCGATTTTTTTCCAAAAATAGACACACACAAAATTATGAGCGCTGATTTGTTTTTTTTTTTTTCTCCAAAAACACACACAATGAAAGTTTTTAATGAAGAAACAAAATACATAATAGTATTCTGAATCAATATATTTTTTTCTCCATAGAACCTAATTACATAATGAAACTTTTTATTGAAGAAAATAAAAATATAATTAACAATACTACACTTGCATTGTAGGATAAGCAGTAGATATATATTTCGAATAAAGAGAATCATAAGATTGCAATGTTCTTCAATAGTAGTTCTCCCAACAAAAAAGAAATAAATCATTGAACAAATAAAAGGGAAGATTTTATAGTAAATAGAGAGAGAGGTGAAGATGAAAGAATTTTGGTAACATGATACCGAAGATTTTATGCAAGTCGTTATCAATTTAGATTTATGACAATATGGAGCATATTCTCCGGTCTCATGTTACCAAGAGGGGTCAAATATGGTTTCAGAGAAGGGTCTGAATTTTGATATCAACATTTGTGTTTGTGTGTTTACAATTTATGTTTTCAAAAAATTAGGTTGTTTGATTGCTTAATTTTGTGTGTGTGGTTTTCTTAAAAACAATTCAATGTTCATAAAAATTGTTTTATTTCAAAAAAATTAAAAACAAATAAGTCTTTTTTTTTTTGGGTTTATTATTTATTTTTTACTGCAAGTGTTCCAAGAATATGGGTTCCTGTTTTGTTATTTTGTGTGTACCATTATTACTTACACTTTTTATTTTCTTCATTAAAAAGTAAAAGGAAAAAAAGTATGTTAATCGATTTGTTGGAGAGAAAAACTGACTATTATTTTCCTTCGTTTATTGATTCAGAAGGTTGCTATATAACTTTGTGTTGTTCAGAATAAACTTTTCGGATTATTCTCTATCGACACCTGATTGCTTTGATGGTACATGTTCTATTGCTTCGGTTTGTAATGGCTTCAAATATATAACTTCTTTTTCTATGCTTGAAAAAATCAAATATGTAATTTTTTTATTCAATCTTTATTTTTATTTTTATTTTTATTTATATGTAATTTTTTTTTATATTTATTTATATGAATTTTTGTTGTATAATTTTTTAGTTAAAATTCATGAAAGTTTGGCCAAATCTCATGAAATTTGGAAAAAACCATGGGTGGCCAAAATTCAAAGAAAGTTGTAGGTGTCTAATCTTTTTAATTGTAACTTTTCTAAAAAACCCTTTGTTTATTCATATGTTTGTTTTGAAGTGTATTTTTTTGACAAGAAAGAATTCAGTGGTCCCAAAATTTCATCTGATTTTTTTATATTTATTACGTAATGAGTTTGTGATTGTCAGAACAAATAACTTCTACAGTCGTGTTTTATTAATACTTATCTTCTACTTCTCTTTTGACTGTAAGTATTTTTAATTCTATTTTCTATTTATTTTTATATTTAATCGAATGTATGAAAAATTTATATTCAGTTTGTTTTTAAATCATATCTCAAGTTGCACACGCTTTGGCTCATCATTACTAGGTAATCTCTTTCACTTGCAATTTTATTTAATTCTCCACAAAATGAGATTAGTACTTAAAATAATATGCATTATAAAAATATAAAAACAAACATATGAAAACACTTACATAAAAATATAAAGCTTATTATATTGTGAGTATACGAGTCGCATTGTGAATATACTATAACTGCCTCTTACATAATTTTATATAATGTAGGCACATTTTAAAGATAGCCGGATTTCATCTACGTAAGTGTTAGTTTGCTAACAATCTTAGGAAAAATGAATCACGATTACCCTAAGCATCAAATAAAGTCGTCTTGGATGGACTGAAGAAAAGGTTAGAAAAGGCAAAAGGCAAGTGGGCAGACGAACTTCCTCATGTTTTATGGGCATACCGCACCACACCTCGAC